GACAATCCATAAACAAATGTTGAATAGTCTCATTTTCAATAAAAAAACATCTTAAACACCCATTCCAATTCCATTTTGTTAGATTATCCTTGGTTAACACGACTCCCTTAAGTAAGTACCACATAAAGATCTTAATCTTAAGCGACATCTTAAGCTTCCAAATGAATTTATTTCTGTCAATGTAACCGTTATTAATTAAAGCTAAGTATATTGATATAACCGAAAACTGACCATTCTGATGATAGTTCCATCTAAAACAATTAGAAGAATCATCCAACTGTATATATGAGCAATAGAAGCACACAATTCATGCCAAAGTGTTAGACTCTGTCCAACTAAAGCCCTCCTAAAAGAAACATTAAGCAGAACGGAGCCCATAATACTAGCAATAGAAGCACTTTTCCTTCAACATATAAAGATGGATATTTATCTCTAAAGGCCAAGTTTCCTAGCCATTTATTCTCCCAAAATCTTATATGTTCTTCATCATTCACAATCTAAGAAGCCATACTTAAAAATGTGTTTTTGACTTTCATAAGCCCTGACCAGAAATGAGAATCACCTTCTTTCTTATCAACTTGGGTTATAGACTTATTATAAAGATACTTCCTCTTCAATACGTCTTGCCAAACACCATTCTCATTAATTAACTTATATAACTACTTACTCAAAAGACATTTATTTTGAATCTGTAAATTATGAAAACCCAAACCTCCCTAGTCTTTGGGTTGACAAATTATATCACATCTAGTTAATCTATATTTTTTTTGTTATGGTCATCTCCTTGCCAAAAGAAATCGTTTGAAGAACCTATTTCCGTATCTCAAACCAAGATATCATGAACATAGAAAACTTGAAAGGACAGAATTATCAAAAACCAATCTACCTCCAACAGACATATGTTTACCTTTCCAACTACTAAGTTTTCTCTCTATTATTTGTTCAATAACCTTCTAATCTTTATTACACAGCTTCCTAAAATACATTGGAATACCAAGATATTTAATAGGAAAAGACCCTAACTTACAAACAACCAAAGATACTCGAATATTGATCATAACACTCTTTTGTCTGTCCAAAACAAAATAACTCACTTTTGTAAAAATTAATTTTCAGGTCAGATAATTTTTCAAACACAGATAAAATCAATTTCAAATTCTTTGCTTATTGTAAGTCATGCTCCAAGAAAATAATAGTATTATCTGTATATTATAAAATAGACAAACCATCATCCAATTAGAGAAAAAACTTTGTTTACATGTGCTCATATATTTTCGAGACACTAAAAGTAGCTTGCTCAGGTGGACCGACCTATTGATGAGGACAGAGCACAGTGGTGACACAAGAGTAGCCGTTTTCGTTATTTATTTTCCTTCGGTGGGGAGCCAACTGGTTACCGATCCAAATCAGTTCCCCGCGGCCCCGGTCATCAAAGCATTATAATTAGTGGTACGTGGGTCCTATTCTCAAATTGTTTCACACATTAGATTTATGAGTCATATCTTCTCTATTTCACTCGTCAGTACCTATAATATAACCACCGGTACGATGAAGAATATGAACCCGAAACATGAAAGCCCCACTTCTCCTACCTTCGCTTTTTCATTCATTACACGTACCGTGACGGCTCACACTGTCCATACAGCTCGCTGCCTGATTCTGACGCTCGCCTGAATCACAAGCTTGGGCCTGTCCGGTGGGGTCGCTCCTTACCGGCGAAATAAAAAGAAACACAGGGGGTGTTTAGATACAATGAATAAAGTTTTGGCGTGTTACATCATGTATTATATAGGGTGTCGTATGGGGTATTTAGACACTATAAAAAATTTAATCACAGAATCCGTCAGTAAATCACAAGACGAATTTATTAAGCCTAATTAATCCGTCATAAGCAAATGTTTACTGTAGCACCATATTATCAAATCATGGAGCAATTAGGTTTAAAATATTTGTTTCGCAAATTAGTAGCAATTTGTGCAATTAGTCATTTTTAGCCCATATTTAATATTTCTTGCAGGTGTTCAAACGTTTAATGTGAAAGGGTAAAAAATTTTAGGGGTGGGATCTAAACAGTCCCACAGTCAAAAAAATTTAGTACTCCCTCCGTCCTAAAATAAGCGCAGCCATAAGTTTCTGTGTCCAACTTTGATCGTCCGTCTTATTTAAACTTTTTTATAATTAGTATTTTTTATGTTATTAGATTCTAAAATATGGACAGTAGTTTATACGTGACTCATGTTTTTTATTTTTTAAATTTTTTTAAATAAGACGAACGATTGAAACTGTGCACGAAAACTTATGGGTAAGCTTGTTTTCGGACGGAGGGAGTATGAACCGGTACTTCTCTGTTCCAACAAGCAAAAATCTGTCACGCAAACGTGTCGACTAGGCATTTCTTGGGACCTGTAAACTCTGTTTACTGTGTTCGATCGCTTTCCTATGTAAAATGTCCCGGATTCGAAAATGCCCGACAATGGCTATCAACTGCTACTTCCGTCCGAAATAAATTTATTTTTCACACGTCTCATGCATACCAATATAAAATAAAAAAAACTAAAATATCATACTTTATCAAATCACAATGTAACTATTTTTTATTTTATCTCATTGCTACAAAATTAATTTTTCATAGCGTCAACCTATTTTTTTCTTAAGTGGCCATACAGAACCACTGTCAATGAAAATGTAACAAGGGGTAGGGAGTTACGGTCCAAGGATAAAAGAGCCGTCAGCAAAAATATTCAGATTTTCACATGCGAACTACTTGACATATCCACTGTGAAGATTAAATTTCACAAGCGGCAGGTTAAGAGCACCGCCTGCCTAAAAAATTCCTTAAAATACCCTCCTCTCCCTTGCGGCCACACGCCCTCTCCTTAATTATTCGCTGGCGGTTGGCTTAACCTAGCCGCTTGTGAAAATCGATTTTCACAAGCGGTGAAGGTCCGCCTGTAAAGATGTTGATTTTCGCTGGTCTTTAATCGATGGCGGGGAGCTGAGCCGCCTGTGAAAACACGTTCTGACCGCCTGGAAAAACTCATTTTTCTAGTAGTGAATCCTCCTAATATAATTATTCCCTACATTTATAAACTCCGGTGTAATAATTACGTTACCCAAGAAATAAACTTATTTTAAATAAATGAATGGATCTTAAAAAACAAACTTATTATAGAACATTTTTCACTTATCTCATACATATCAACACAAAATAAAAAAAATAACATTGCCATACTTTATCAATTCCTCATACAATTATTTCTCTTTTTATCTATTATTTCTAATATATTTATCTTATGATTTTATAAATTTTGATACAGTGATTATTAAAAGGAAAAAGTATATAATACCCTCTAAACTATTATGGTCTTCCGAATTACCCTCCTATATCGAATACACGAAGTTATTTTAGAATATGGGAGGAGGAACTGTTAAGGCTTGTAGTAGCTAAGCTCGGTATCGTAACAAGCTGCTCGGCTCGGCTTAACTCAAGCTTGTTAATAAACTCATTAAGAGCTTTGGCTTATTCATGTTACCTTTACGAATTTTAGAGTTCTGACATATACAATTTGCCGATTTATCATTTACTAGTCATAAACATTATTCCTTCTATAAAAAATATAAAGATTTAAAACCAGATTCGTAAGTAAAAGTTATATATTTTAAAACAAATGTAGTAGTAAATACGAATACAATAGTTTACAAGTATTTAAAGGACTTATTATTGACTAAGAAGCATAAGCATAAATAAATATACCGGTCTTTCATACTACCAAGCTTAACATGTTCTACACCTGTCTTTAAATATTACAAGCTAGAATTGACCGATGGAATATATCTTAGTATAATAAATAGTAGGATATATCTAATCCAATTCTAGATTTACCATATTTTGAAACGAAGGAAGGGAGTAGCTTGAGCTATGCTGGAGTAAAATCCCAACACGAAACTCTCACTACACGACGCCACTACGGGTTCAAGCCGATCTTAAGTCAGAAACAAAGTGACCTTGTTCCAAGCCGCAGTAGCGAGCATTTCTTTATATTTAGAATCTGTTTGGATTGCTACCTAAAATTTTGGTAGGGTAACAAACCAAACACCTCTATTAAAATACTACGTATGCTACAAATTTGGTTTTGCCCATAAATTTGTCTCTTATAGGTATATTTTTGGCTTCAATCCAAATAAACATTTTCAACTCTATCCTACCAAAATTTTAGTAGTACCGAAACTTGCCCAAGATTTGGCACTACCAAAAATTTGGTAGAGCATTAATCCAAACATGCCCTCAGGATGTGTCCATTTGGATTGGTTTGGAAACCTCTCCCCTTCGCACGCAAAACGGAATGACGAAATAACACATGATTAATTAAGTATTAGCAAGAGTTTGAAAAATAAATTGATATGATTTTTTACAACAACTTTTTCTAATGTTTTTATTTTTTAAAAAAGACACTGTTTGTTTAGTAGTTCAGGATACGTGCGTGTGGGCAATTAGAGAATAGAGGTTGGGAACCTTGAGTGAAGAACACATCCTAGGGCAAATGAAATGGCGAAACCATTATAAACTCTCCAGGTGACATTTACTCATGGTTTATATGTCAGTCAAATGACCATGAAAAAAATTGGAAAAAAATAAGATAGATTAATATGCGTTAGATCACTCTACAAACATAACATACAAGTTAAATTTCTCACTTTTATATGTTGCAAAAACAAAACAAATTTGACTCTAAATATACTTTAACTATCTGTAATTTATTTTTTTCTTATTGCAACTTATAAAAGTTGAATTTTAACTTTCTAAAGTGATATATCACATGTTAATACAACTTCTTATTTTTTACAATATTTTTGTAACTATTTTAAGTGTCATGCAAACTGAAAAGACGTCCCCCTCGAGAGTTTAAAATCCACTCCATAATGAAATGCCATTCAAAATTGTCTGATGGTTCGAGCAGCAAAATAAGCTATAAAAAAAATTTAACAAGGCAACAAAAAAATTTATAGGTAAATAATTATTACTAGCAGTTTAAAAGTAGTAGAGATAAAAATACAATCACCAAAATTAAATTATAAATTTCTAAAAGGAATCAAACCCTAAAGATGAATCTGAACACACATATGGCTGTGTTTAGTTCGCGCCGAAATTGGAAGTTTGGTTGAAAATTAGAACGATGTAATTGAAAGTTTGTGTGTGTAGAACAGATTGATGTGATGGGAAAAGTTGAAAGTTTAGAAAAAAACTTTGGAACTAAACAAGGCCTATGTCATTCATCGCTGGTTTTGATTTTTGATTTTTTATTTTTTGCACAGAGAGAGTATAAGCCAGCAAATAGACTTGAAAACCGAATCTCTGAAGAAATCTCCGAGGAGTACGTACGGCAGTTCCCACGCTAGTTGCATTGGGAAGACGAGGAAAGCCAAGCAGTGGCGTCGGCGAGGCACCTCCGGAACGTGTCCATGCTCTCCGGCGGCAGAGCTATGCCCACCTCGATGCCGCCGGCGCCGGACCGGTCCTCCGCCGCCGACACCGCGCCGGTCTTCGCCACGGACACGATCTCCACCTTCGCCGGCCTCCCGAACCCGAAGTCGACGTCGTACACGCGGAACCTCGTCGACCCGGCCACCGAGAACGGCGCGTCGTCCCTGCACGCCTCCATGACGCGCTCCGTCCACCCTTCCCAGTACGCGGGCTCGCCGCGCACCGCCTCGTCAATGGCGACGGCCACCGCGGCGCAGGCCGTGAAGACGCCGCCCGCGGCGTCGGCGAGCTCCTCATGGGTGCGGCGAACTCGTCATGCCTGTCCGGTACGTCGCGGATGAGCGTGCGGTCGATTACGGGCAGCTCCGGGAGCTTCCGGTCGCCGGCGCAGGCTGCGGCCCAGGTGTGGAGGAAGTGCGTCGAGCCCACCCCGTCGCAGGCGGAGTGGTGGACGATGACGCCGAGAGCGAGGCCGCGGCGCTTGGGCGGCAGCACGGTCACCTGCAGCGCGAGCACCGCGCCGCCCTCGGGAAGCTCCGGGACGAGCGGCGCGATCTTGGCGAGCTCCCTCGGCTCGTCCGTGGCGAGCTCGTCGACGCCGACGCCGTCGTGCTCGGCGACGGTGAACGCCACGCCGTCGCCGAGCTGGTAGAGGAGCTCGTACCGGTTGGTCTCGCTGGGCGTGGGGCGGATGCGGCTGGCGAGCGGGTAGAAGGCGTGGATAGCCCGGGGCAGCGACTCCTCCATCCGGGACAGCACGGCGTCGACACCACCGTCGTCGTCGTCGTCGCCGGGGCCGAGTCGGTAGAAGAAGACGCGCTCGACGGGCTGGGCGCGGAGCCACATCGCGTCCATGAACATGAGAGGCAGGGCTCGCTCGGGCAGCGCGGGCTCGCCGGCGGGCGGCGCCGGCGCGACGCGCGTCGTGCGGAGGACGCGGAGGCCAGCGGCGTGAGCGGCCGGTTGCGACGCCATTGTCTCGCCGCAGAACAGGTGTGGTTTGTGTTGCTCGTGGTTAGCTGCAGAGCGATGGAGCTTTGCTTCTACTCCTATAATACTTGCATCTCCGCGAGTGACTTCACTTCACTGGTCCATACCCGAATTACGCCCCTAAGTTATTATGTGATTACGAATTACCCCTTGAACTCAAAAATAAGATATCTTTCACCTTCAACTATCAATACAGGATGAAAACTCCCTTAAATAGCTTTGAGAGCGGTTTTGGTCCTACGTGGTAGTTCAGTCAACAATTCTTTTATCAACTAATCGATGGGGCCCACCCATCAGATCTCTCTCCTCTCTCTCTCCCCTCTCAAACCTCTCTCTCGCACGCACGGATGCCGACGACGAGGATGAGGCATGTGCCGGCAGTGCTGCACCATCCCGACGGCGCTCACATGCCGCCCCATTGTTGCCTCAGCCACGCCGCCACCCCGCCGCCATCTGCCCGCCCCGAGCAGCCTTCGCCACCTCCCGCCACCATCTTGCCCACCCTGAGCTGCCTCCGTACCCCGCCCTTGCTTGCCGCCATCTACTGCTGTCCTCGGCGCCCCAAGCGGCCTCCGCTACTGCCCGCCACCCCGAGCTGCCTCCGCCCCTCTGTCGTCCTACTACCCTCGCCCAACACAATCCACCGCTATCCTCGATGCCCGAGCGGCCTCCGCCATTGCCATCGCGCCGCCACGAACTGCCTGCACCCCCGCCGCTGTCCCACTGTCCTCCCCAGTTACTGTCCTGCCGTACATCATAGAAAACATGTAAATACACTCAAAATTTACGAAATATATTGAGAAATGTAATAACACGTTACGAAATATAAGGATTGTATTTCAGTGAAATATAATGAAATTTACAAAATGTATTGAGAAATGTAATAATACGTTACAAAATGTAAATATTGTCTTTCAGTGGCTTTCATAAGAACTCCAATACCAGAAAAAGAACTCCCCTCTACATAATTGAGGAAAAGAACACCACAATCTACCTGATAGCTTCAGGTCATCCAAACCAACTTCAAAAGATGACCCAGTGACCCTCTCAATCCACAGGTACCTGTAAATAGGTACCTGTAAACCTATAGTAAATGAAGTTCAAGCAGCAGTACATAATCGAAGTAACCGTAATTTTTTTAATCATGTTGTTAATCACAGAATATGGGCCAGCGGCATCCACGAGCTTGAAGTGTAACTCTACAATAATCACAAGAGCAAAGACCAATTCATAGCTAATCCTGATACAATTTCAGAAACATGACAAAGTTATACTCCTGAGGAACCTGACCAGCAACTTGTGATGCACCATTTGTTTGCAATCGTTCAACACTAACAAAAAACAAATAAAGTTACAAGACAAATTGTATTTAAAAATCAAAGCAAGTAATTCCAAAGATATCAATATTTTGTTTCCTGGTCATTTAAGAATTCATCTCAAACCATGAAAAAAAATAGACTTCAACAATTAGAGCCCATTTCAAAAGAAGCGGTTTCAGTTCTCACAAATATAACAAGCAATTTGTTAATCTTAATACTGGTGGGCTAACCATATAAAGGCTAACATGGAAATGAAGCACATCAGTTGAACTTCAGATTCAGTAGTGGTAGAAAATTGGCATATTTAGGCATTGTATTATAGGAGTAGTTTTTTGAGCAAAAAGAAACTTTCACTTCATAGAGCAATATATTACTAACTCCACTTCATGTAGCTAGAAAGTAACAGAGGAGCTTGATAAAATAGATGTGCAACGCTGATTAGAAATAACAGGATGATGATGATGCTTGATGATAACTCATCCAGATAAAGCAATGCTATATGCAGTGGCTTTTTAATATTCCACTCCATGATTCACATGACCTTTTTATCAATAAAAGAAGGCAAATAACAGTAATAAGGTAATACTGGGAAGGGCAAGTCACCTTACTTTACATTTGATAGAACGGACTCAGATAATTCTTAATGGCACATCTGTTACATCTTGTTATGTATGGACTACCAAATCAGTTGCAGTTGAACAATAAAGGGACATATCTTAAAATAAATAAATCTCCTTTTTCTGTGGGTTAAAATAAATAAATCTCAAAAGGATTTTATATGCAACTAAAGATTAAACAAATAGATATACTGCAGCCGAGTCCACATGTCCCTTGAAACACTGTCCAGGATTGCTGATCGATTACGAAATATGAATTTATCTGCAAACTTTTGACTGCAGTAGAAAGAGGAGACAAATAAATCTCAGTCAAGAAACAAAGCTATTGTGTTGGGAATATCAAGTAAAATTGGACATGTTAGCATATCTATATCACTATTAACATACTGACGTGACTCCAATAGTCATTAAAAAGTGAAGTATCTCATAGTAAATCTATACACTAAAATAATAGGGTGTTCTACCCTGCAAAAATGAAATATTTGTTTGCACTATATGAAGTATTCGAGACCAAGGAACAATTCAATTTTAGTTTACATAGGCAGAGCTTCAAATCACAACATACAGTGAAAAATAGAGTAAATATGAGATAATAATAAGGATTCAAACAGTAACAGGAGTGCACCTCGATCATGCATTTCATCAAACAGTTGGTGTGCTGCCCATGGGCACACCAAGGAACCACCGTGATAGCTGATCTGGAAGACCTCACTGTAATGGAAGGGTACCATCCACAGCACACAGTAGCTGCAGCCGCTAAAGGCCTAGGTGCAGACGTTGAGGCTTGCCTGCGCGGCTTCAGCGATGGCGGCATGGAATTCTACATATCTATCGAACCCAACTTTTAAAACAATCTATGCACTTGTGTAATCACTTGAACACCATGTGGATCAGTTTAATGATAACAAAATGAAACACATTATATAATCTTATGATTATAACTAACTGTTAAGTTTGTATTCTTCTTGGTCCCTGAAAGAGAAATTTTCAGCTCCTGCACTTGAATCTTGCATCATTTACATAGGTAAACCAAATTGACAGCTGCATTTATAATTTCATTTAGGATTTGTCATGTAAATTCAATGTAAAAGTGAAACAATACCTCAGAGGTACTGTCATCGTGTGCAAGGATCAAAAGCAAAAATGACCAACTGATAAATTATGAAATTTGGGATCTGGGGCAATGCTTTTTGTAGTTGATTAAGTACCCAGAATCAATGATTTACATAAAAATTGAGCTTTTCATTTTATATAATTTTCATAGCATAATCAAACATTTTATCAATTTTGTTATTTTCATATCTATTGGAATTGCATTCTAACATGTATCGATCAAGCAAATTTGGAAATCAACGGATAAGACAATGAATCAGTGTGACATAGGGTCATAGTAGGTTGAATGTTGACATTATCACAAATTCAAGATTAACATATAGCATATTGCTACAGATTCCATTCATTTATTTTTAGCCAGGGGAAAATTCTCATAATATGATCAGCATTCACGGAACAATTCATTGATCCTATTTGATAGCAGAAAGGAGAAGGAGAAACTAAATGCAATCTGACAAGGGGCACATAAAGAAATTGAGAAGGAGAGAAGGATGTGGAAAAGCAAACCTGGGATAATGCCGGCAGATGGCAACAGCTTTGCTGCTGTGTTGTAAAATCATTCATCGATGAGAATACTGGCACAACAGAAAGAAGGCGGGGGGTGTGCATCAACCTCCGCGGTAGGAGTCATCTCTCCTCGGGCGTGTAGATAACGAAGAAGTTGCACACGATGGAGAGGAGGACGGCAGGGATGGAGGTTGTCCGGTGGCGTGGAGTTGGGCAGTGGGCGTCCGGCTCCGGGGCGTCGAGGGTGAAGACAACTAAACATGGCGCACGGCAGGGATGCGCACGATGAAGACAGGCGATGAGTGCGGCGGAGGAGGCAGCGAATGGGAAAGACCTCGCCTCCGGTTCAGTGCGCGACGGCGGCGGAAGGGGACGACCTCGTGGGTAGCGGTGAACTGTGGCGGCGGCGGTGGATGGGGAAGACCTCGTCTCCGGCGGCAGCGGATGGGGACGACGTCGGCTCCGGCCGCGACTGGGGACGGATGGGGAAGACCTCGCCTCCAGCGGCGGCGGATGGGGACGACGTCGACTCCAGCCGCGGCGGATGGGGAAGCTCCGGCGGTGGCTGGGGAAGACCTCGCCTCTGGTTCAGTGCGCGGCGGCGGCGGAAGGGGACGATGACGCGAGAAGGGTTCGGCGGCGTCGCAGGATTCGGGTGACGGCGATCTCGGCGGCGTCGAATGGGGCGATGCGACGCGATGGAACGACGACGCCCCTCACCTCCCCTGCTCTGCTCACGACTCGCGAGATGGGGATCGGATTCGATTCCGTCCTGACTGGCGTGGTTCTAGGGTTTCGCCGGTGGTGGGGGGAGGGGAAAGGATGGGCGGAGGGGCGCGAGCAGCGGCCAGCGGGACAGCGACGACGGCGGTAGGGCGATGATGGCGGCGGCGCCTGATCTGGAGGAATCGGTGGCAATGGCGATTTGTGGCGGCGTATGTGGCAGATCGGCTGGTGGCGAGGTTAGGGTTTGGGCGCCGATGTGGAGCAGCTGTCAGCAGGGGGAGGGGGATGCGGGCGCTGGGGGATGGGGAGGAAGGAGGATTAAGGCGACGCTAGGACGACGGATATCGGCGGCGGCGGCGGTTGATACGGAGGGGATCGAGGCAGTGGTTGAGAGGAAGACGGGAGAGAGGGGAACGCTTGCGCGTCTGCGCTCTGCAGGATCAGAGCGTTGCGGAAGCGATATGAGCCATTGGATTAGACAATCTGACAACTCATATTCCGCATGTATGATAGGGTTGGAGTAACGGCCACAACTACAGAATTTTAAAAGTAGTAAAGAAAATGTCGATGTCCTTATATGTCCTAGCCTTCTTTCTATCCTTCATTCGATCTAGCGCATGTGTATGCGTCTCTCCTCCCTCACGCGCGTGTGTATGCGATTTTTCCTTGAAGATGCCACATGTCCTCCCCTCACGCGCGTGTGTATGCGTCTCTCCTCCCTCCCCGTTTTTCTCAACGGTGGTTAAGATCTAAATCATTATTTTGTTATTCATTTTAAATAAAAGTTCTATGGGTAGATCATAGCCGAATCTCCCAGTTACGGGTGTCTTCATGCAAGCCTACATGAATGCAGAGACATGGGCTAATATATTTGTGATCGTCTATGAACAACTTTTTATAAGTTGAGTTGTTTGATGATTAGTCTTTTTTTTTATATCATGACATTTCAATCAATTATTTAAGGTGCACATGGACTATGATTTATTGTCAAATAAAAAAAATAGTGTGAGCCCTATACCTGCACGTTATACATTTTATTACTTCCTCCGCTTTTAATATATTGACACCGTGAACTTTTTTTATATATATTTGACCATTCATCTCATTCAATCATTTTATACAAATATGAAAAAAATAGTTCATGTATATATTAATCACATATATTTTGTTTTTTAAAATGAGACTAACGGTGAAACATATCCATCCAAAAGTCAAAAGTGTCATCCCAGGCCCACCCTCCTCTCTCGTGCTCGGGTCTAGCCCGGTCATCCAAATCCTACATGACGTGACCCTATCAAACGGGCAAGGCCCAAATACATCACCTTGGCGTATGTGGACAAATACCAAATTAGGGTTAATTATGCCTCCGTGTGACAAGCTTGCCGTTGCATCGACCAGAAATTACATAAGCCCGACAGGCATGCATGCACGAACTTAAAAAATAGTAGCTGGATTTTATGATGAGAGAGACTACCCCATGGTATACCGTCAAAGCAACGGGATACATCGTTTATGACCCTCACGTTAAATCAGTTTCCACGTAGTCAAGTACAACCATGCAAGATGTCAGTTGGTCATTAAACAATCCCGTCGGGACGTGATCCCGTTGCCTAGATTTTCTCTTTTATGATTGATAAACAACATAAAAATATTTTAAAATCAAATCAAATATATGTGATTAATACTCCTAAATATTCTCTTTACAAGTTAAAGAAAATTCTAAAAAAAGGCAGACGTAATTTAATTTATATACGGTTATATATGTATTGTCTTTTATAGCGACTTAAGTTTTCTCCCTTTTTTTTTATGGAACTTCAAGAACCAGCTGCCTTAGGTACCATAATTTGTGAACGTGATCTGCAGTAGGTAATTTTATAAATGACATAATTAAATTTATCATGCAATGCTAATGGATAAATTCATGAAGAAATCATACTTTTAAAATCCAATAGATATTATTCTGTTAGTATACTACCCTTACATCGCGCGGGCTATCTTCCTGGTTCATTTTTAAAAATCTCACCAAAGGGATCAGTATTTCATTTGAGGTACTGTTCACCTCGATTTGCAGTTGGGATTTGCTATCTATCAGTGGACACGTTTCTTGCTTCAAATCACATGATTTTCGACCTTACGTTAAAACAAAGGAACGGATAGGATTTAAAACGCACAACGAACAAAAATTGCACCCATAAACCTTAATCATGTGAACTAATAAATTTGACTGGGCCAGCCCAATTAAAGTAAACAAGCTAGTACAAATCAGTTACGTATCAAATTACATTGTAAATATGATGTAACAAAGAAATGAGAGGCTGCATCAATTCACATGAACCGATTCTTTGACCTCGATTACAATTGCAAGAAATTTCATAACATTGTCATGTTCTTTATTCTTGTAACCTAAGATCAATCTCTTATTCTCATATATGAATACTGCAAAAAAATGATATTAAGTTCTAAATTATCAAAATAAATAAAAGCCTAAAACACAAAAACATCCATCGATACAGTTTCCGAACTCTAATCATTTGAAAATGACAACTACTCCCTCCGTTTCACAATGTAAGTCATTCTAGCATTTCCCACATTCATATTGATGTTAATGAATCTAGACATATATATTTAGCTAAATTTATTAATATAAATATGAATGTGGAAAATGCTATAATGACTTACATTGTGAAACGGAGGGAGTATGAACAATCCAAAATCAGAAGTCTAAACCACAAACTAAAGAAAATGCACTATGCTACCTGAAACACTAAACTATGCAGAGTGCCATTAAAAATGCATCATCAGGAGTTGAATAAATAAATAAACACTAAAGAACACTATTTCAAATAATAAACACTTTTAGAACTGATCTGCATGTTAACAACCGATTCTCTAGACCATCTTTTAGGTTTCATAACATTGTAATTCAGAGGAACAATACATTGCACAACCATCATAGTTCCCAAAACTATGGTTAAGACTTAAGATTCAGATTAAGAAATTTAAAATTAGAGCTCAAAAAGAACATAGCAAATACACCCCTTATCATGTATTCATAATAAATATAAATATTTAGATATAACTAAATCACA